ATACAGTAATTGACTGATTCAATGTATTTGATAGTTAAAATGACTACAAATTCAGGTTTTCGTCAACTCCGTCAGTTCTGTCACCTCAGTTGAATATTTTGATAATATTTCATTATGATAGTTTATATTTGTTGTGGAATTATCAGTAGCTTAGTACATATAAGATACATAAATGTAGTTTAATTTGTCTGAGTACAAGGTTTTATTTTTTCAATTTTGCTCCCTGTTTTGTCCCACTTCTCAAGAATGATATACAGACATGTTTGCAAATAAAAATGTTCTGTTCTGAGTCGATCTTGTTGGTTCATTTGGATTTTGAGACTTCATTTTCGCAGTTTACAGCATTTCACGCGCATTCCATTGAGTACGGTTTTATGAATGTTACATTGTTTTCTTTGTTTCTTTTTGGTTTGGCTAGGTTTTGGTTAGGATTCACACATCCATGAGCGAGGCATTTTAGTTGAAGAGACGGGAGTTGCGCGAAAGCATGCTCCGAAAATCTGTTTGAGTGATATATGGCCGTCGAAACGAAAGCGCACGGGTTCACGCAGTAGGATAGCCTATATGTGAATCTGGCAATAGATCGAGCATCCTCTGTTTCATGCATGAGAAAAAAAAAAAAAACTTTTATAAAACTTTCTTCACATGAAAAATCGTCCTCTTCACATGAGCAAATAGGCTATGTGCTTGGCCTGAGCTCAGGCTGAACAGCACGGATTGTTCTACGGGCTGTTTTAATTAACCAGTGTATCTAGATTCTATAGTGTATCTATCTATATGTTTGGCTGACTGTATTTTATTCTGATAATGAAAAGGCTGCAGAGTATGCAATTCTGTAGGCCTATATGAAAGGTGCATTTCTCTCGTACTGCAGTGCGGAGATGGCTAATCAGCATCGTCAACTTCATCTTTGCATAATAATAATAATAATAATAATAATAGCCTACAAGGAAGGAATAACTGACACCGTGCCGTTGAATTACAGAAAGAAAGAAAAAACCAAGGTACCGTCACAAAGTTCTTGTTTGGCAAAATTAATATAAGCTATTCTGTGTCTTAAGACAAGTTAAATTAGAACAAGTTCAATAAAACATCTTTATTATATTTCTACAGTAGAGGAGAATAGCCAAACCAAAAATAACATTAAAAAAAAAACATTCATAAAACCATACTCAATGGAATGCATACATGTGACTGGGGCTAGTGCCATCTAGTGGTCGCTGATTTTCTGTGGCTCAGCTGCGCGTGGATCGTGAGCTGTGTGTGTGGATTGGGCAAGGCTAAACGGGCGGAACGAAAGTCTCAAAATTCAAATGAATCAAATAGAATCGACTCAGAAGAGACGTGAATGAATGCATGCGTGTCACCTGATCCACAAATGCACATTTTAATCGCTACATGCACAAATCATGATACTTTAATACAAACTATAACATTTGTATTCACAAATATGTCTCTATTTGAACAAAATGCTGCACATTAATGTAATTCTTAACTCTGCAGACACCGGTTGAAAGGCATTTGTTTCAGTGTAGTGACGCACATTTGCGATCGTGTACACGTTAATGAATTGCACTGGGCAATTTTTTTTTTATTCACAAACATGTCTGTATTTGTACAAATCGCTGCACAATCATTTAATCCCGAATTCCACAGACTCAAATTGAAAGCCGTTTGTTTGTGGTTAGTAAGATACATGTATAAAATGTATGCAGTACATGGATAATTGTGCGTGCATCTATTAATCATTTTGAGTCTAATATCATCCCATAACTGACGAGCTCTAAAACGTTCAGATGACACGCAGCTCAGTTCTCCGTCACTGTAAGTTACCGAAAACACACGTGAAAACACATAGACACGCGTTTGTGCGGCAGAGCGGCTCTCTCTCGCACTTTATGACGTGACAGACAACTAGTTGTCAAGTCCCCGTCCGTTACGGCGGTAAAGTTAGTTTGACGTTTGACATTCATTAGACATTCGTTGTTGTTTTTTTGCCAATTAAACTCTTTGCAGCTGTTATGTTTTGAGCCCAAACTAACTCAGATAGACATAAATATATGCCCTTTACGTTGCACAAGGCTTAATTTCTAGAGGGGAAAAATGTAAAAAAAAAAAAAAGTAATTAAACAATTTAACTACGTGACATTATAATATAAAACCAATACTAAAATGTTCGGGAAAACATCCCTATTACTGCACAAAGCTCCGTTTTTGGAATTACCATTTTATGTGTTTTATAATAATTTTACAACTTTTAATGTATGCAATAATATAAATCCATTAAACGACAACACCGTTTGAGATAAAGGTATCAAACCAACTGTAAAATATTCAGAATATTATTCCCTATAATGCACAAGGCTTGGTTTTTCAGATTATGCCTGTATTGTTTTTATATATATAGTACTGAAACCATATTTTTCATGTTTTATGTACTGTACCCACTTAAATTAATTAAACAATGACACTATTTGAGATAAAGGTATCAAACCAACTGTAAAATATTCAGAATATTATTCCCTATAATGCGCAAGGTTTGGTTTTCCAGATTACGCCTTTATTGTTTTTATATACAGTACTGAAAACATATTTTTCATATGTTTAATATACTGTATCCGCTTAAATTAATAAAACTCTGACACCGTTTGAGATGAAGATATCAAACCAACTGTAAAAATCTCTAAATATTATTCCCTATAATGCACAAGGTTCGGTTTTCAGATTATTCATCCATTTTTTTTTTTTGACAGTACTGAACCCAGATATCCATGAAACTTGAACACCATTTAAAGGGGTCATATGATGCGATTTCAAGTTTTCCTTTCTCTTTGGAGTGTTACAAGCTCTTGGTGCATAAAGAAGATCTGTAAAGTTGCAAAGACTAAAGCCTCAAATCCAAAGAGATGTTCTTTATAAAAGTTAAGAGTCAGCCACGCCTACCTAAAACGGCTCGTTCTAACACGCCCCCAACATGTCTACGTCACTATGTGGCAATATTAGCATAATGCGCCCAAATGTGCACGCAAAGAAAGAAGGCGTGGTTTCAGGAACAGCAGTAGTGTTGATGCAGCCATGTCAGTGAGACGCTGTGTATTTCAGTGCGAAAGCAAAAGCACTTTATTTGGCCTTCCAGAAGTAGATGCAATTAGGAATCATTGGTTAAGATTTATTTACAACAGAACAGCACAACCCAGTTGTTCGAATTTGTGCAACGTATTTTATGGATGACTGGCTGTGCAAAGACTATTTCAAAAAAAAGAAAAGGGTCAATTCCGACTTTGCTATGACAATCTGGCACTTCTGAATCAGCGACTGGAAGTATGTTTTGTTACTAGTTTAAGTATTTGCTATTGACTGTTCAAATGCGGAGTTTTGCGCAGCGCTAATCATTTGTTTAGACTTAGTGGAGGGAAAGTTCGAATCAGATGAGGAAGGTACTGACAGAGAGCGGCTTTGGTACTGAATCAGAAATCAGAATGGACTGTGGCTTTATACAGTAGATATGAAATATTAGGTACCATTTAACTGCCTCTGTTTGCGGTTTTTGTCATGTCTGTCATTCCCTGTTTAGTTGATAGATGGAGTGAGGAGAATAACAACATAATTTTGACTTGGAAGGTACTGTTGCGAAATTAATATTTTTTTCGTTTACATTAATGTTAGACTTTACGCAGACATACTCATGTGCCGAATTACCGTTTCAGCAAAATGAACGAGGCCTTGAACCAAATCAGCATGTTTGGAAGCGATGCTGGTCGGAAAGCCTTAAACTGCTGCAGAAAATTCAAGGTAACGTATTTTCATGTGTTACTTTTGATTTGATGGCTGTAAGTAAGGTGGTATTAGAAGCTCATAACCATATTCTGTTTACACAGGAATACCAGCAGCTACTGAACGACTCGAACTTGAAATGACAGTTTCATATAATACGTTTTTATTCTCGTTGAATTTCTCCAATACAAGTGAAATAGAGGAAAGTCTCACCAATAGTTTATTAAGAGGTAAATAACATCATGTCTTATTTTTTTAATGATTAATATATGCAGTGGTTGTGTATGTGTTTTATGTTTCCTCTGCCTTTCTGTTTTAGTTTTTTCCTGTAGCTTTAGAGGTTGGTGGATCTCAGGTTTCCTGTTCTGATCCGGTTCAGTTGTGGGAGGCTGTTCTACAGACTTTTGGCTCCTCAGTCTATGTGCCTTATGTCCACAGCTTCTGCTCATCCAGTGGATGCTGTGGCTCATGCAGTGTCATTTAGAGAAAGTTCGTACTCTTCTGATGCAAACTAATCACAAGGTATTAATTTTTACAGTTTAAAAAAAAAAACTAATTTTAAGAATTATTAGGTCCCCCTTGGAAGTTTGCTGAAGCTCCCTAGTGGTCCCTGGCTCTCTGGTTGAGAACCACTGTTTTATACCTCATTTACAAGCATATGCTATTGTGTGTCAAATATAAACATAATTACTGTAAAATACTGACCAGTTTTTATTACTTGTTATGTTTATGTTACATCTGTTTATTTCTGAAAGCACATGGATAATGTAAGCTTTTCTCCAGATTTCTACTAGTGAAAGCAGAATCTCAAACTCAGTATTTTTACAGCATAATGCTGTCTTAGAGGACTTGTATCTGTGAAAATGTCAGGCTCCTATTAGGTCCCCACCAGTCAACCCGAAAGTGAGGGGATTTTTTTTTTTTTAATTGCGCTTTTTTGCCCCCGTTAAATAATAATTAAGATAAATCTCAAACCTGAAATGTTCTTAATGCACACTATACTTACCTAGGTACCCCCCGACTCAATACCTTCCCATTACGGATTGAAAATTTTTATTTGGATTTAAGATTTTAATCTAAGGAACAATAATGTGCAAAGTGTTTATACATGTACATTGAAATGTGCTTTAGAGAACAGTTTTTCCCCCAAAAAGTTAGGACCATCCTGAGATTAGATATTTAGGTTTCCATAAATGTCCATATAACCAAAATGTGTTGTGGGCCATTAAACTCGTGGTTTTGCAATAAATAACTTAACATAACATAACAAAACAGAGGTAATCACTCCAAAAATTAGTACCACAAAATAATGATCTTTAAAATAGCATCATATGACCCCTTTAAGCTAAAGATATCACACCAACTGTATATTTTTTAGCTCATTAATCTCATGTTTTTTATATAGAATACTGAACTTTTCATTTTTTTAAGACATTCCTGGAACCCATTTCAATACATTAAACTGGAACACCATACATACAGTACATGCATATATGTATGCATGCATGTATGTATATATATGTATATACATACAAACACACAAACACACACACAGTGTAGCCTCTGTTGGGGATTTACATTAAAACAACAGCAACAACATATTGTGTGAATTAGGTAATGTTTTACTGATGTGAAATTGTAGCAAAAATGTCAGTGCTCTTAACAACAGTTGATAGTTGACACTGAACATGAATAAATACATAATGAAGTACAACACAAAATAAAAACAAAAAATAGATGTGATGAAGACCAAATTCCAGTGAAATATCTTCACAGTCCTCTATGATGTCTTTAAGTCCATCATTTTGGTGTGATTGAGTGGCAGTTTCTCTTTGCAGATGGTGAGGACGTGGGACGTGATGCGTCTGAAATAAACAATTGAGTTTAGAGTTGTCCATTTGTTTATATAAAAAACAATAATGTCTAATGGCCAAAAGCAAAAATGGACAGAATGTGACAAAAGAGCAACAATATATTGTTGTGACAAGTCCCGGTAAGTCTAACGCAGTACACATAGCAAGGTTTATTTATTTATTTTTATAATAAATAAACAGAATAAAAAGTAGATAGAAAATAAATAGAATAGATATAGCTAGTGTTAAAGGGTCAAGTTGTTATTATCTTTTATAATACTTAAAAGTAGATAGAATAGAAAAATAATAGAGAACGCTAGTGTTAGAGGGTCAAGTTTTTGTTTTTTAATTAATAAAAAGAAAACAAGTAAATAGGATAGAAAGAATAGAGAGTGCTAGTGTCAGAGGGTCAAGTGTAGATGGAAGAGATATGTCTTCACCCATTTCTTGATGAAGGACTCAGCTGCTCGGATTGAGTTGGGCAGGTCATTCCACCAGCAGAACAGTTAAAGGTGCCATAGAATGGAAAACTGTATTTACCTTGGCATAGTTGAATAATAACAGTTCTGTACATGGAAA